ATCAAAATGGAATTGATAGAATCTGCAAAACATAGCTTTTACAGCATACCTCTAACATAGACATCGATCCACTTTCTTGATTCATGATCGCACAGTAACCCAAGTCCTCAGATCTTTTCGTAATGTAACGGAAACCTGCTCTGGTGCCAATTGAAATTTGATACTTGTACACCGAGTATCCAGAGTTGCACGTAAATAGAACAAACAGACAGTAACGAATATTCAAACAATTGTGGAAGCAGTTTTCACTAAGAATTGAACCATTAAGAGAGCGTCCCACTCTTACTTCAGATCTCTTTCATTAATGTGAACAACTCATACATCATTCAAGGATTTACAGTATAGACTCTCAATACACTCTACTTGAATAATGATCCACATAACTTATCTGACCACAACTCCCTTGTGGATTTTCTAGTTTGAATCTCATAAACTAGATCAGAATGAACCTCCGAACATTCTGTTACCGAAAAAAAAAATGTGTTCTGAATAACTCTCTTTTCACTCAAGGAAAGAAAACACAAAACTCAAAAAATTTCGGATCAAAAGTCATCCTCAACTCTGGTCTCGTCCTCCTTTTATCTTCATCATCCTTTGGTAAGTCTTTACGCCCAAGACATATACGCATAAGGAAGGTGAATCCCGTGATCTTCTTCTTCTTCTTCGATTATGGAAAGAGAATCTTACCTTCAATCTTCTAGACCTGCCAAGATGTCAATACAAATAATTAGTCAATTTGACTTAAATGAAAACATGTCTCATTTATACCAAAAATAAACTTCCCTTAAATACTCCCGCATATTTCTGAACTCTGTGGTCATCAGAAGGTTCATCGATTTGCTGTCCATAATCAGAACTTACAATTTTTAGTTGCTAGTTTTATCGTTCGGCGATTGTCAATTATTTCGGGTAGATTAATTTCGAGCCTTTTTCTTATCTATATACCAAATCTTGAATTTAGCCCACTTCAATTATATTTTCTAGCCTAATAAGTTGAGTATTGTTGGCCCATTCTCCTTGTAATATTCTGGCCCATTTTCTTTGTAAAGTAATTGGCACTAGAATGTTATTCACTTGGGCCCAAGAATCCAGCCCACCTCTTTTCCGCTGAGCCGAATTGTCGCATAAACCTGGTCGTCTTCCCCGAACAAACCTTCATTTTCTCTCAGCAATCAATCCTCCACTCTCAGCGGCAACGAAGCTCGATCCCCATGGAATCCGGCTCTCCCATCCCCTAATTCTCTTAGTATTTAAATCAACAAGATACCATTATCAGGGGCAACCCCATTTATTTTCCTATTTCACAATCGCGAGTGAAATTTCGAAAGCGGCATCACGGCGAGTTCTGTGTGTGCAGCGGAGACGAGCACCAGAGGCCGAAGAACTCGAGTTTTCAGCGACCGAAGCTTCAGTTTCCGGCGGCTGAAGGAACCCGGCGATTTCCAGGCACATCTGACGGACCGAGCAACCAGATAGCGAGAATCCCAGACGTGGAGCAGCAACACCCGCCTTTGCGAGCACCAGCAGACCGGAAATCTGCGACCCCTGACAACCATCGCGACAACCGTGAACTGTCGAGCCCCTTCATCCGGCGACCTCCAGCAGTCCGTTGATTAGCCATCACCAGCAGGCCGAGCTCTGTCCGCCGGCTTCCGTACCGTCACGCCGTTCAGAACCGCCACCTTTCACCGAAAACTCTCGACTTCCGACGGGGCTGCACCTTCGCGAACCCTGATCATCGTCCGACAATTTTAGCTCTCGGAGACCCAAGCTCCATTTTCCCAGCGGCTGAATTTTTGGTTCCGACGAGCAGCAGGTCCCGTCGGTTCGTCGTCGCGCCGGGGTTCTCGTCACCCTTCGTCGGTAATCCTGCAGCGGCAAGCGGACAGAGGCGGCCCATTCCGACGGGTTTCACCGTCGACTTCGGGCAGCCATCTCCCCGTCGTCCGGCAGCGGGCAACCGACGACTCACGAGCAGCAGCGGTCGGCTTTCTTTTCAATGAGCAGGGGTTCTTTTCTAGCTAAACGAGCAGCGGCTGAGGGCAAGCATCCGTCCAAAACGAGCCCCATTTCTTTCTCTGTTTGTCACGGTAATTTGGCTTAGCTTTTAGCCTTCTTTTGGCCGTGAATTTGTGGTTCAAAATGCTTAGTTTTGTGGTATACATGTTTATGTTAAAAGAGAAAGGGAGACTTTGTGTGATGTGTCTGCCGTGGCTTTTCCGTTCCAATTGCTGAGGTTTTGTATTGTACTTATCACGCTGAGAACATGCTTTAAGACAAAGTTTTTCAATTATTTTGTGGCTTGAATGATTGTTCCTGAGCTTGAAATAAGAAAGCAATTTCGAGCCTCCAATTGCATATGTCCAGCAGGCTGCTTCACAGATTTGAATTGGTTTGTTGTGTTCTATTTCCAAAATATATATGTATATCCTGATTTGTGTGGATTCAGTTCCAAATTCATTCTTATGTTTTGTCTCAGAATTCATAATTATTATGTTCAGTTTGATCTATTTTGATGTGGAGTATGTAATTTAGTAATTATTACATTAGGTGATGACCATGATTTACTTGCAATGCAATTAGAAATTTCATCTTTAATGTGGTCATTTAGTTGTTTGGTTCACAGTGATTTTCATCAGGTTAAACATGAATTTATGAAGTGTCTAATGTGCTTAAGTTCCAGCTTAATTGGTGGTTGGCATGCTTGGGTTGGAGAAGAGAAAGTAAGAGCATGTTATGCTTTGATATTTAGCATTATCTTTGAGCATGCTTTTGAATTATGTTAACCTTACTGCCATTATGTTCAGTGATGAGAATTTTGTGTTGAAATTTCAGAGCCTAGTTCGTTCACTTGTCTGACCAACTTGAAAATGTGATATACTTGTCAAATTTTGTAAATTTAGCTCATTATGTTAAAGTCTAAATTTTTAGGTAATTTTGTATATATGTTGCTCCCTGTTACTGGGCTTGGTCAACCCTTTCTTGAATTTATGTGTTTTCCCATATTTGGTTTCGAGTCATGTTGAATGTTCCATAACTCCACGAGAATTTCCCTCGAGCCACTTAGTCGACGAGTTTCAACTAAGTTTGTGTGATCGTTGGATTTGTTGTAATCAAGAGATTATCTTGATTTCGTGTAGGTGCTTCGAGGTGTTGGCCTCCATCCTACCTTTTCGAGCCTTGTATTGGTAATTTATTGCTGCTTCCAGGTGGGTATAGTTTGTGTATCTATAATTATTGCATTTCGTTATTTCGTATAAATGTTCGTCTCGATAACTTTAGTATGCCTGAGAACCCTAGTCTAGTGTGTTACACCGCCAGGGGCGTCTCGCCTTTAGTGCCTTTGATGAATGCATAAGCAGTGCGAGGTCACCTGCCCGTCGTATCCGGGAGGAGGACGCCCTAGCCCATGTGTTGGGGAAAAACATCTCGACTGTCTCCTAGAAAGGATCCCTTAGCCCGTGTCGAGCCGGGGTGAGAATGTTTCCGGTTACTTCCTTACCAATGTTTGATCGGAAGGTTGTTGCATGTACATAGGAGGTTTGTGATAGGGCCATATAGGGAGTTAGACCTGGATTCTATGCATACTATGTTTATGGTTTTGTACCTTTATGCGAGATAGACTTATGCGATATTGGTGAGCATAGTGGTTTTGCTCACCCCATTGTTTGTTTTGTCATCTTGTTCCTCTTCCTATCTTTAGTTTGAGCTTGGTTGGCGGCGGCAGCGAGAGACGATCGAGTGGTGGTCATTGGATTGATGTGTCTTTGCTTCAGCTATTTTATTATCTATGTTGGATTGTTAGCTTTACATTGGATTATTATTTTTTCGCTTATTCATATTGAACATGTTGGTTTGACGTGGATCATGTTAAGTATCAGATTGGTTTTTAGATTTATGTTTAATCTGGTTTGATTAATACAATTGTTAGTTCGCATGCAGGTGCTTTATGTTTATTCTAATTTGTTTATTTATTTTTAATAGTTAAGTAGCGCTCATTGATATATAAAGTTTTTAAATTGGGATTTTGCGAAAAAATAACTTTGATTTTTATAAATAAATTCGATAAACTCTTTAAAATAAAACGGGGCGCTACAGTCATTTTTCTAAACTCCGGTACCGATGGTCGTCAGTCCAACCTCCACAGTTGCACAGTATTGCTGCTCTCTGCACCATCAACGGCTACACGACCACGAGGTGAGATTGCGATATGTCATCTTAGTTGCTACGCACACTATATTCGTGTAGATTTGACTCATGATTGTCCATTACCGCCTATTCATCTTACGCGGTTCAGGCACCGAACTCTGGCAGTTCAGGGTTGGGAGGATCAGTGCCAGCGTAGGTTGCAATTATGGTTTGAGGTTCAAAATAATCCATGTTGAATAAAAGAACGATATTATTCGGTTGTCTATTTTTTTATTAATATGAAATATTTTAGTTCGAATGTAGTATAACTAAATATATAATGCATAAGTAATAGGAAATGTCAGTAATTTTTAACCATAAATAAAAAATGACCAACACGAGTCGTGTAGAAGGGTCACACGACTCGTGTGAAGTCACACGAGTCGTGTGACTCACCCACACGACTCGTGTGTGTCTGACAAAATTTGTTAATTAGTTTCGGGATTTCCACACGAGTCGTGTGGATGAGCTGACTCATCCACACGATTCGTGTGTTTCTCACACACGACTCGTGTGGAGTAGCCGAACCATATATTTTTTATCGCCATTTCATATTGATTATGTCAAACATCATTGTTATGGAATATTTTAGTTTCAATAATGTAGTCTAACAAAAGAAAAAAGAAAAATGCACACCAATCTCATTAATGTTTTACACAAAAAAAAAAAAAAACATTTCTTACATAATTATTTTGAATTGGCGTAATCCATCTTAAATTTAGTCAATTCGTCTGCGTACTGCTGCGCCAACACAGGACATAACCTGTTAAATCCCGCAGGGTGTTCGAATAAAGGATGGCAAGACAGTCTACCGACTACAAAAAATGGAAGGAAAAAAAGATATGATGAATATTCATAAAAAAATAAAATTATTGTAATCAAATAACAACTACAATTTAGCATGAGACTTACATAGTCGCTGTTGGCACGCGTAGGGACCTCGTTATGGTCCAGCAGATTCTCGCCCAAAAAAGTAGGATTGGAAACCCGACGGTACCACTCCATGTACTCCGCAGTCGTCTCTGTTCGATCATTTGTGCTAACCTGATACATACTGGAGTTGATGGTATGCGATACCGGGAACTGGTTCCACATAGATACTGCAGTGACATCAGAATGCTCAACCTTGTAGAGCCTCGACTCCCAAATACGGTTGGTTTCGATTGGCGTGAACATAGGGGGAGGGACAGTCTGGACATACCCCAACTGCCGCAGAAACAACACTGGAAAGTACGGCTCGACGATATCGCGGTACCGAATAAACCCGCAATAAAGAGTCTTCGGCTCTATCTCGTGTGGGCTAGGGCTGTCGTATGGCAACAATTGCACATGTTCACAATTGCATAAAAGCATTTATAAAAATATTTATATTATTTTAAATAACGAGTAACTAAATTTAAATAAAATAACTTAACTTACATCGGAGGCAGTAATTCTATCAAGTCTCTGACGAATGGCTGCGAGACGCTCGTCCTTCCATTGACCCGCCGGTGGGCTCCACATCTGAGATCGTGCGGAGTCGTTAGGACCGAGGGGTAGAATCCCCACTGGAACCAGAAATCGAGGAAATACTCGTATATCCAAGACTGCATGAGAGTCAAGCAGCCGAAAAGTTGTTTGGAGTCTCCTCTGCTGGCAATACTAACTGTTGGTACAAGTATGCCAGTGTAGCCGTGTAATACCCCGTTTTATTGTGGATTATTTGAGAATAATTATTGATTATTGCTATTGTTAGTTGTCTTTATTATTATTACTATTATTATTATTGTTATTAAATGTCAAATTGCTATTATTTGTTGTTATTAATAATAATACTATTATTAATATTAATTGTCTAAATGTTGTATTATAGATAAATAAATGTGTATTATATATATATATTGATTTTATCCGTTTTAAATTCATTATCGTGCGTTCGAGCCCGAGTACTATAATTTTTGGAACCGAGAACACCCGGCCCGTGCGCCACAAACCCGCGCCCCGCACCTTGCCGTCCACACATAACCGTTTCTCTCTCTTTTTGGTCTTAGTGGCTAATTGTTATTTTTTTTAAAATCCCTTCATTATGGAAAATTTAAATTACAATTATCATGGCAATAATATTGTGCATCAATACACTTAATGTTAAAAAACTGTAACGTAAAATCTCTCTTCCCTATTTCTCTCGTTCATCCTCCCAATCTCGCTATCTTTCACCTGCAATTGAGTAAAGAGAAATTAGTTCTTCTCTCATAATTCCGATCACGTCTCTCTCTCTCATTTTATTATCACGACCGAAGAGGAAGCTTTCCTCTCGCAGCACCACATCACCGTCGTCGCGTCCCTGCATCGCGAGACCACCGCGCGACCAGCACCTTCACCGTCACGCCAGGCCCGGCGCTTCCCGGCGAGTCTCAGCCATTGTTGCTCCTTCACGAGCCACCACGATCAGCTCGACATCCTCATCACAAGCTTTCGAGGTCCCGTCTCGTCCTGACCGATTTTCAACCGAGCACATAGATTCCTGAAGACTGGTAATCCCTTTCGACCTTCTCGTTATTTTATTCGTGCTCGTGGATCATTCGATTTTTGTCGTGCTCTTTAAATCGATATTCGATGATTTGCCGGTTTAGTTATATTCATTCACGGTTCATATGGTGCTATCGTGAATTGACGTGGACATGATGGAGCTCTAGTTTTCGAAAATATCAAGTGTATTTACTGTTGTGTTTGATTCGTCTGAGTTCAGAGCCTCGTTGTATTGTTTCGAACCTTGTCAACGTGGTTGTGTCGTTTATTGTTTTTCAAGCCATATTATTGTCGGTTCGATTTTTTATTCAAAAACCCGTTTTAAAAATATTTCGGGAACTCTGGAAAACTGTATGTTCGATGATGTTATAAATGTTCGAACACCCTCGTGAAATTTCTGTTGAAACTCGGCCATTTGCGAACCTGCGTTGCGTCTCTGGTCGATAGTTTCTGTCTCTGTTTTTTGTTATGTCCCAAGGTTCTGTTCCTAAATTTATGACATAAGTTTTCAATTATTGCAAGAAATCGTGTGGCGCAGTGGTCTTCTGTGCGCTATTCCGTTAGTGAGGTTGCGGATTCGATCCCCAACCCTTGCGAATGCCACCCTTTTTCTTTTATTAAACGCCAGCTGCAGCGCGGGCCATAAGGCCCGCATTTCGGCCCGCGCAGCCCATTTCTCTCTCAGCAGCTGGTGGCCCGCGACCCCGCTTCCGGCCCTTCATCCAGCCCACGGATTTGCAGCCCATTTACACCTTAGAGCGGCCCAACTAGCGTGTATTGGCCCAAATGCTTTGGCATTTTGACCCAATTTTTGAATAACAGCCTAATTCGGCTTTTTAAGCCTATTTTGAGTTCCGGAAGCCCGTTTTAATACCAATTTTAGTTTTTAAAAATATTTATGAAATGAGAAAAATTTAGAAAAATTATTTTAAGTCTCGAGACTCCAATTTAGTTCTCTGAGTCCTATTTTTCTAAAATGAGAGAGTTCCAAGTCCACTAAAAATCCGATTAAAACCCTCAAGCCTTAGTTTTGATTAAGTGTGGGTTTTATGTTAAATTTGAGTAGTGAGATAGATTATTGATGTATTATCTCGCTTAAATGTAGGTGTTTGAGGAGTCGAGCCCTCGACCTACTTACTTACTTTTGTGTGCAATATTCTACCGCGTTTTCCAGGTGGGTTTACTTTGAAAAAATTGGCTAGGCTGTAAATGTTATTACTGTTATTATTGTTTACTTGTGGTATGATCAAAGTATGCATGTGGAACATGTAGCCTTCGGTGTGAGCTGTACCGGCCGTCGAACGGTTATCCTCGTAACTATAGAACGTGCCCGATGGGTAGTCTCTATAATACCCCACTTTGATTTTAAAGAAATTCCGGACTTTCAAAAAAATCAGTGTAAAATTTTCAAAATCATTTTCAAAAATTCAATGGGTGTTAAACAACATTTTTCATAACCCAAGTCTTATCTGTGCTCACGGAGATTCATTAACCGGTTTTAACAAACGGTTTTCATTAACCGAAACATATCACGAGACATAATTCTCAACATGAATATATAATCAATCCATAATGCCCAACAATCCGGGTTCCACAAATTTCCAAAACAAGCAAGTCATAAGTTCTGGGAAATAACGTAATCAAGTCTCAACAAAAAGGGTTCATAAAGCCTTATTCATACGGAAGCAATAAATAAAATTTGACCGACCCACTCGCCTCTTCTCGTCACCCAGCCCCTGCTTAACCTGCATCGGTAAAGAGCAGGTGGGGATGAGCACTAGATGAAAAGTGTGCTCACCACTATGCACATAAATAATACATGTTTAGATGGTATGGTCGCAGTATGAATATAAATCAATCATCATCATGTCTCATCTCCTAATCTCAACAATAACTCACTCATGTGCACATCTATCATTAGACGCGGAAAGGGGATGCATAAACCCTAACGACGGGAGTGCGTGCCACTGTAACGGACACGGCCTTTCATTAGGTCTTAAGGAGACTTGCCTCGCAAGGGCAACCGTACCTTAACTCGACGGGGACAACCGTACCGACGGCCGTAACAGCTCACATCAGTAGGCCACATGGTTCACATTCATACATAGTTCATACCAACCAAACACTTAAACACACGTATGACATAGAAAATTTTCATAAGTAAAAACCCACCTGGATTCCGGATTGATAATAGCAAAACAGAGGAGACGTATGTAGAGGCTTGAACCCTCAAATACCTACATTAAGTCAAGATCCTACAATCAACATTTATCTAGACTTAAACGGAAAACATATCATACTTAGTCGAACTTGATTCGACTAAGTTGTTCGTGAAGTCCTGTGGACGTTGGAACACTTAGACTCAACACTACACTCAACGAAAACATACATGAGAGTTCACATAAGTCAAACTAACGATTGACCAAGTCAGACAACAAGAAACGAAAAGCGACCCAACTTACAGCTTTTAACTCAAAATTCATATTTCTAATTTATTAGCCAAATCACAAAATTAAGTTGATCTAGTTGTCCCATGAGTTGAACTCTGAAATTTTAACCAAAAATACATCCCCAATTACTTAGAAAAACCACTAAGTTTCAGCCTCAAATTCAAAGTACATGATTTTATAAAATACAAATACGATATCAGCAAAAATAAACATAAAATTCAAAGCCTAACCTAACTAACGAATTAACACATGCAATTTTTACCAGAGCAAGTTCAGCAATTAAGGATCAACATATACAAATTCCAGCAATTAACATCAAATACACAAATTATGAGAATTCATACAAGATTTAGCAGTTTATCAAATTTTAATTAAAACCAAACCAATTTGAGCTCTAAAAATTCTAATATTTTTACAGCATGAAACTCCACATAAAACAAGCATCTCAGACAAATATCATAATTATTGAACAAAAGACCAATTTATCATAATTAAAAACGTCTTTCTGCAAAAACCTTAAATAAATTATTTACCCTAACAATCTCAGTATAAAAATTATACAAATTTTACACAACATCATAATCATATAGAAAGACAACATACTAAAATTTCATCAAGTTTGGAGCACAACTCAATTTATCATCCAATTAATACGATTCTGTCCAGAAATCACTTTAATTAATTAAAATAGCTACAGATGGAATTAAATTCTGAAATTTTTACACAACATGCAATATTAACACAGGACATCACATATGAAATTTCATGGCAACCGGAACAACATACAATTTATGATTAATTTAATACATTTCAGCAGCTAGTTCGGTTTCGAAAAATCATATAAGACTCGAAACACACCGAATTCGTCCAAGGCCTTCGCCATGAAGCCAAGGACTCGACCTAGTTCCAAAATCCACAGTCCTAACACAAATTTGATAGGATTTCGTACGATTTTACATTAATCGATAAAATCCCTACATAAAATAGTGAAATAACTTCAAGGCTCGAAACACATATATAAACAAGAGGGTAATCGAGCTTCGGTACCATTTTTGGGATTAGTATGCGATGACAATCAAAACGATGGCCGAGACGGGCTGTTCGGAGGCCGGGAGCACGCTCGTCGGGCTCAACGTCAACGGCTCGCGGGGGTGGCAATTACGTTGTCTTGCGGGGCTGCTCCGGCTCGCTAGGGACGTCGAAAAATGATTGCGGAGGTACCGACGGACAGTGGGAAACTCTCTGGTGGTGCTCGACCGAAACGAGAAGGCTTGTGGTGGCGGCTTACGACCCGACGGAGGGTGACGATGGAGGAAGAAGAAACCTCTTCTTTCTGCTGGGGTCTCGCGATGGTGAACAGAGCACGCCGGGATGGTCGCGGCTTGTGCTTGACCTGCCAGCGGAAGTGGCTTGTGTCTGCCGTTTCTTGGTGACGTGCGACTTCCAGCGATCGCGAACGGGACTTGACGGTTGGAGACCAGAAGCAGCGGTTTGAAGTGTTGCGGGTGGTGACGCGACAAGGGCCTGCTCGTTACTGCCGGAATTCTCGCGATGGGAGGGAGGCTCGCCGGAGTAGCAGGCCCGTGGTGGTGATGCCGGTTCACAGAGGCGACGTCCACTGCTTGTTGTGAGCGGGGTGGCCGGAAGTTGCAGGTTTTGGTCTCGCGAGCAGGGTGAGTGATGAAGGTGATGCTCGATTATGGTGATGGTTGTGATTGTGACGATGGCAGTAGGGAAATCGAGGGAGAGGGTGAAATCCCTTAGGGTCTGCGCGTGCTTGCTGCTGAGGGAGATGGGACTTTATGATGGTGGCTGCGGGATTTGGGATTTCTCAAAGTCTGAGCGGGTTTAAGAGTTGCTGAGGGTTAAAACATATATACATATATACATGTTATTAGGTTAGATATTTTATGGCCCTCAAGATTAATCACACGCACACGCACGCACATAAATGAAACCAGGTCGCTAAGGGTGCAGGGCGCGGGTTCGAGGCTCTCGGGCTCAGTTCACATGCGGGTTTGAGATAACAACTTGTTCTCGCATGATTAAAATAAAAATTTAGATAAATACACATATATTTATAATACATTATTATTTAATTATAATACGACATTTAGACAATTAATATTAATAATAGTATTATCAATAATAACAAGAAATAATAGCAAATTGACATTTAATAATAATAATAATAATAATAATAATAATAATAATAATAATAATAATAATAATATTTATAATAATAATAATAATAATAATAATAATAACAATAAATCAAAATAAAACCCAAATAATTCATAAACGAACGGGGCGTTGCAGTCTACCCACCTTACAAAGAATTCTGTCCTCGGAATTCGAAAACAAACAACTAGAAGGTAAGGGAGTACTAAAGGAAACATCAAAACATGAGGGTCGGGTACTCCATCCGAATCTCGGTCTCCCCCTGTCAAGTCGTCTCGCCCTCGACTTGACTACAACCACTGGACTTTGACGAGTACCCCTCTCGGTCTTTCCTGATGGACCCTCAGTCCCAACAGGTCACCGGTACCTCCATACATGTAGGGTTATGCCTATCACGTAGCTCGTCACAATTCACACATACCTCGAGATCACGCACACATTCCCTCTATCACGAGGCTAGAACGTGTCATGCATCCACGCAAGTCCAGGTGGTGGAGTCAATCATCAGGCTAAGTTACCGACTTGGTCAACAAACCATAATAGGGCAGTCAATCATCACTTATACTCAAATCTGGTACATTCATAACACACGATTCTGTTTGATACCGATGACAAGGCCTCACTCATTCCCGACACGAGTAACACCTCGTATGCGGCTTCGCGAGTAACGACAAGATACTCGATAATGATTTCCTTCCCACGGAGTCGGTCTCTAGACGAGACTCAAGGCTCCGCCCCCATATTACTACGGAAACTACTATCTCGCCATCTCGAGATAATCTCACAAGTGGCAAAAGAAACTAATCGACCAACCTCACACATCGAGGGTTGTTGATTAGGAAATTCACACAATGACTCGAAAGATCAACATACACTTTGACCAAAATCTGGTTCAAAGACCCCTAACAGGATAAGGTCGGACTGGGTTTAATGCATTGTCACTCGAGAGGTGACACACACGCTGGCGCTGCATATGCGGGGCACTGGGACGCGTGCATATACCCACTCGGATACCAGCTACAAGGTCAAGGTTTGGTCGTACACACTGACCTGGGGAGTTTGGCGTTCGGTGATGGCGGCGGCAACTCTCGTGCGAGTCAACGGTCGGCCACTGCAGTTGGCCTCACGTCTCTCAGCACGGGCGTGCGGGCTCGGCCTCCACTTCGCGTGGCTACACCCAGTCAGGTTCGGCACACGGTTCGAGGTGCATTCCAAAAATTCAATTTCCGGGTTTCACAATTCCTAGGTACTCAAATGGGAAGAAGGGTTTCTCTCCAAGACTCAAAATCATAAAGGTTTGGGTTGACAACAACAATTTTCCCAAAAGGGAACGAGCATTGGCGTCACCGCCAGGAGCAATCCTAACTCGGCGGTCAACGCCGAACAACAGAATGGTTAGCTCGTTTGACTCTACCGGCTAACAGTGTCGGCCGTCACGACAGCTTTTACTCAGGTAGCTAATCGTGTCGGCAGTCCTAAACGAGTCTAATCCACATACACAACCTATAGCTTTCACACTTCGAGGTCTAGCGTAAAGCTTCTCTCGCAAGTGTTTCCAGCTAACATTATAATACTAATCAGAAAATTGACGAAAAGCTAATTTTGAAATTCATAACTCAATTTGGAAACCTAAACATGAACTTGCACCAATTCCAGCAAGCGTGATGAATTTAAAATGCATGTAACTTTTAGTCTAGATATCGTATCATGATGAAACCACTTGAAAAGTATCCCTAACTCAGGCCTCTATCACTTTCATGAAGAACACTCAGGCACATAAAATCATTGAAATGCACATAATACAGCAAACATACAAAACATAGGTGCAGTGGATAAATGAAGACATACAGCTTGACAGGTTCTCAGTGTATGCACAATAACCGAAGCTACAATATTATATTACTGAAATTCAAAATCTTCAAGATAGCAACTCAATTATTTACAACTTTCATGTTGATCACTTAAGCCAATAATAACTTTAAAGCCGAGTTTAAGAATAAAACACTTAGGTCAAGAAATCTGCCAACGAAACTATTTATAAATTACAGCAGGTCACTAAATCAGGAATATCTCTTGCCACAAAACTCCAAATCATCCAAACTCAAAACTTACAGAAACTACACTTGAATTGCTACAAGTTCCAAGAAGAGCATTTTTACAAATAATCATGTTAAGGGCCTCATTTCAGAGCATACATTTCAATCGTAAACACAACCACTGTTTTAAAAATTCCGGGCATAACACTAATTTTGAAAAATCATATAAAATCAACTAAAACACCAAATTGCAAGATTTCAACTTTCAGAGAAAGCTTATAACATGTACTACAAGTTTCTTTTTTATTATATTTTCACATAGTCACATTATCATTGTCAAAAACAGCCCAACATCGTGATTCACAATTCTGCCCGGAATTTCAAAAACTGCTCGCAGTTACAATTTCAAAAATTCATAATAAATTCAATTTAACTTCGAATTTAAAAATTCCAACTCTCACTGAACCCAAACTCAAAATAATATAATTATCATGATGAACACCTATCCAAGAAACAGCTTATTGGTTACGAAAAATTGAGCACAAACTGAGGCTTAAACATGGAGTTTTTCACTTAAATCTCGGCACAAGACATATATTTTTCAAGAACATAGCATCAACGAGCCACATATAATCACAATAACCTCATGTATTCACATATAAAGTTTAGGAGGATCAGCCAAAAACTGTGATAACTTCATACAAATCAACTCTTTAAGCCTCAATTAATTCAAGGCATGAATTCGCCCCTTACTAAGAAATAAGAGACAATACGATACTAGAGGTCGGATAGAGGCCGTAAAAATCCTTTATAATAGCAGTCCATAAATCCTCAACTCATCTCATAATTTTTTAAATTCGGCAAGGGTCCGAAGAAAAATGAATACATTCCCGGTTCTCATTGACTGGGTCCTCACTCGGAGACATAGAATAGAATTATATAGAAAGGTAAACTGCTATGGACAGAACTTAACTCGAAACAACATATTGAAACTCACAACGAGAAACCTCTAGAGTCCGAACTTAACTCCATATCCCTAGAGTTCAAGGTCAAACACTAGAGTTCACATAACCTGAGGTGGATAGATTTTCTAAGCCTCAAAACAACATATATATCACTTCACAAGTAGTCTCATTGCTACTCATGCAAAACCTCATAAGTAGTTTCATTGCTACTCGTACAAAACATCACAAGTAGTTTCATTGCTACTCATGCAAAGTCACAATTCACATTATAAGTATTTTCATTGATACTTTTATAAAACATACCTTAAGCAGCGCGGAGTGACGGAGACGAGTGGTCATATTACAAGGACTAAACACATACTCACACATAAACCAGTCTACAGAAACGCAGACTGGCTCTGATACCAAACTGTAACACCCCACTTTGATTTTAAAGAAATTCCGGACTTATCAAAAAAATCAGTGTAAAATTTTCAAAATCATTTTCAAAAATTCAATGGGTGTTAAACAACATTTTCATAACCCAAGTCTTATCTGGGCTCACGGGGATTCATTACCCGGTTTTCACAAACGGTTTTCATTAACCGAAATATATCACGAGACATAATTCTCAACATGAATATATAATCAATCCATAATACCCAACAATCCGGGTTCCACAAATTTCCAAAACAAGCAAGTCATAAGTTCTGGGAAATAACGTAATCAAGTCTCAACAAAAAGGGTTCATAAAGCCTTATTCATACGGAAGCAATAGATAAATTTTGACCGACCCACTCGCCTCTTCTCGTCACCCAGCTCCTGCTTAACCTGCATCGGTAAAGAGCAGGTGGGGATGAGCACTAGATGAAAAGCGTGCTCACCACTATGCACATAAATAATACATGTTTAGATGGTATGGTCGCAGTATGAATATAAATCAATCATCATCATGTCTCATCTCCTAATCTCAACAATAACTCACTCATGTGCACATCTATCATTAGCCGCGGAAAGGGGATGCATAAACCTTAACGACGGGAGTGCGTGCCACTGTAACGGACACGGCCTTTCACTAGGTCTTAAGGAGACTTGCCTCGCAAGGGCAACCGTACCGTAACTCGACGGGGACAACCGTACCGACGGCCGTAACAGCTCACATCAGTAGGCCACATAGTTCACATTCATACATAGGTCATACCAACCAAACACTTAAACACACGTATGACATAGAAATTTTTCATAAGTGAAAACCCACCTGGATTCCGGATTGATAATTGCAAAACAGAGGAGACGTATGTAGAGGCTTGAACCCTCAAATACCTACATTAAGTCAAGATCCTACAATCAACATTTATCTAGACTTAAGCGGAAAACACATCATACTTAGTCGAACTTGATTCGACTAAGTTGTTCGTGAAGTCCTGTGGACGTTGGAACACTTAGACTCGACACTACACTCAACGAAACATACATGAGAGTTCACATAAGTCAAACTAACGATTGACCAAGTCAGACAACAAGAAACGAAAAGCGACCCAACTTACAGCTTTTAACTAAAAATTCATATTTCTAATTTATTAGCCAAATCACAAAATTAAGTTGATCTAGTTGTCCCATGAGTTGAACTCTGAAATTTTAACCAAAAATACATCCCCAATTACTTAGAAAAACGACTAAGTTTCAGCCTCAAATTCAAAGTACATGATTTTATAAAATACAAATACGATATCAGCAAAAGAAAACATAAAATTCAAAGCCTAACCTAACTAACAAATTAACACATGCAATTTTTACCAGAGCAAGTTCAGCAATTAAGGATCAACATATACAAATTCCAGCAATTAACATCAAATACACAAATTATGAGAATTCATACAAGATTTAGCAGTTTATCAAATTTTAATTAAAACCAAACCAATTTGAGCTCTAAAAATTCTAATATTTTTACAGCATGAAACTCCACATAAAACAAGCATCTCAGACAAATATCATAATTATTGAACAAAAGACCAATTTATCATAATTAAAAACGTCTTTCTGCAAAAACCTTAAATAAATTATTTACCCTAACAATCTCAGTATAAAAATTATACAAATTTTACACAACATCATAATCATATAGAAAGACAACATACTAAAATTTCATCAAGTTTGGAGCACAACTCAATTTATCATCCAATTAATACGATTCTGTCCAGAAATCACTTTAATTAATTAAAATAGCTACAGATGGAATTAAATTCTGAAATTTTCACACAACATGCAATATTAACACAGGACATAACATATGAAATTTCATGGCAACCGGAACAGCATATAATTTATGATGAATTTAATACATTTCAGCAGCTAGTTCGGTTTCGAAAAATCATATAAGACTCGAAACACACCGAATTCGTCCAAGCACTTCGCCATGAAGCCAAGGACTCGACCTAGTTCCAAAATCCACAGTCCTAACACAAATTTGATAGGATTTCGTACGATTTTACATTAATCGATAAAATCCCTACATAAAATAGTGAAATAACTTCAAGGCTCGAAACACATATATAAACAAGAGGGTAATCGAGCTTCGGTACCATTTTCGGGATTAGTACGCGATGACAATCAAAACGATGGCCGAGACGGGCTGTTCGGAGGCCGGGAGCACGCTCGTCGGGCTCAACGTCAACGGCTCGCGGGGGTGGCAATTACGTTGTCTTGCGAGGCTGCTCCGGCTCGCTAGGGACATCGAAAAATGATTGCGGAGGTACCGACGGACAATGGGAAACTCGCTGTGGTGCTCGACCGAAACGAGGAGGCTTGTGGTGGCGGCTTACGACCCGACGGAGGGTGACGATGGAGGAAGAAGAAACCTCTTCTTTCTGCTGGGGTCTCGCGATGGTGAACAGAGCACGTCGGGATGGTCGTGGCTTGTGCTTGACCTGCCAGCGGAAGTGGCGTGTGTCTGCCGTTTCTTGGTGACGTGCGACTTCCAGCGATCGCGAACGGTTGGAGACCAGAAGCAGCGGTTTGAAGTGTTGCGGGTGGTGACGCGACAAGGGCCTGCTCGTTACTGCCGGAATTCCCGCGATGGGAGGGAGGCTCGCCGGAGTAGCAGGCCCGTGGTAGTGATGCCGGTTCACAGAGGCGACGTCCACTGCTTGTTGTGAGCGGGGTGGCCGGAAGTTGCAGGTTTTGGTCTCGCGAGCAGGGTGAGTGATGAAGGTGATGCTCGATTATGGTGATGGTTGTGATTGTGATGATGGCAGTAGGGAAATCGAGGGAGAGGGTGGAATCCCTTAGGGTCTGCGCGTGCTTGCTGCTGAGGGAGATGGGAGTTTATGATGGTGGCTGCGGGATTTGGGATTTCTCAAAGTCTGAGCGGGTTTAAGAGTTGTTGAGGGTTAAAACATATATACATATATACATGTTATTAGGTTAGATATTTTCTGGCCCTCAAGATTAATCACACGCACACACACGCACATAAATGAAACCAGGTCGGCTAAGGGTTCGGGGCACGGGTTGGAGGCTCTCGGGCTCGGTTCACATGCGGGTTCGAGATAACAACTTGTTCTCGCATGATTAAAATAAAAATTTAGATAAATACACATATATTTATAATACATTATTATTTAATTATAATATGACATTTAGACAATTAATATTAATAATAGTATTATCAATAATAACAAGAAATAATAGCAAATTGGCATTTAATAATAATAATAATAATAATAATAATAATAATAATAATAATAATAATAATAATAATAATATTTATAATAATAATAATAAATCAAAATAAAACCCAAATAATTCATAAACGAACGGGGCGTTACAGTCTCCTTTATTATTGTTGACGGTCAGGGCGTGAGCCTTGGCTGGTGATCCCCGTGTAAGGCCAAGGGCCATCGGGGTGGATTTATTCCTACTGGCTGGGCACTCGATGTGAGGCCAAGGGCCATTCGATATATAGCCGGCAGTAGTCTATTGATATAGGTGTGCACATGAAAGTGATAATTGATTATTGATGGGAGATTGGGATAGATTAATGCTTCGTATACATGCTGAGACCATACCTTTGATTATTGATACTGTTTATTATTTGAGGTTAACATTTATTGCATAGCGGTAAGCACTTTTGTTTCCTTTTGTGCTCATCCCAACCTGCTCTTCACGGATGCAGGTTAATATTTGCGGGCACGGCGGAGGGATGCGAGTGGTGGTCTGATTAAATGTCATTGCTTCCGCTTTGTTTTGAATATTGCTATTTACTGCTTTATTTATTTCGAACATTGGATTATGATGAGGAGTGTTCTCCCTAGTATTTATGAATTTGAGAAACCCAATTTTGGGGATCAATGTTTGTTGAACCCGTTTGGGAGTTGCAATTATGATATTGTTGAAAATGGTTTTGAAATGAGTAGCGCCTCAAGTGTTTTTGAAATACATTTTAAAAAATTTATTCTGAAATTTGGCAAATAAAAGTGGGGCGTTACAAGCCGATCCCCATGAGTAACCCCCAATGGAATCCAGGCCGTCAAGCACCTCAGGTAGGAGCTTGGGATTCACTCTACTACCACTCATGTCGCCGAACAAGGTGGTAGACAGCAGCACCCAAATCCAGGCACCAGCCTCATCCAACGCCAACTGGCCTTTACCTCTGAATTTCTCCACAACAGAGCCTTCTCCCACAGAACTACGCTGCCAGAACGACCCAACGAGGTCAGGCTTCCTGACCGAAAGTATATCCATGCAGTAAGCCTGGCAGACCCCTGTATCCGGCTCCTCAACGACCACGGCTCCCTCAACAGGAATGTCCAAAATGGCCTGGACATCGTGCAGCATATGCTCATTTTACCAAAAGGTAGGTGAAACGAGTTAGTATCTGGCTGCCATCGCTCCACAAATGCAGTAAGCAGTGGAGTGTCCAAGTGGGCGTGCATGGAGTCTGCCAGATGTGACAGTCTGGTATCCTTGATCAGATCAAGTGTCTCGGAAGACATATCACCTCGCCAATCTCTTAGATTACCAAACTCTTGCACTCTGTTATGGCATTTCAGTAAGTCTCGGCTCTCTCCATTCCACAATCGGGAGGCTACGTGCCTTAGAAAGCTAGGGATCACACTGCCATCCGTGGGCCCACCAGCCACTGGACCTTTAACCATCCAGTCTGTCTCACGATCAGTTCTAGATCGTTTGCTAGTACATGCATTAGAATAGAACATAATGTCATAACAATGCCGATAAATTGTTATAATTAAGTCAAGATATTTAATGTCAAACAACAATAAATACGTAAATTATTTACCTGAGGATCCAGTGCTAGCAAAACGCCCTCCATCCTGTCGTTGAGGAGCAGGCCGAACAGATCGTGAAGGAGCCGCATGTTGTGCAGGAACCGTAGCTTGTGCAGGAATATCGTCCTCGTCCTCATCAAATGAAGATGTCGACTCGTCATAATCCTGCTCCATCTGGGCTACCGACTCATCAACATAATATCCCTGCTGACCGTCCGGTGCTAGTGCAGGGGGTATCGAACTGCCTTCCTGGCCAGCAAAAACATATCTATGCTGACTGTGATCGTACATTGGTGGTGCACCATATCCTTGCTGAACAACCGGTACTGGTGGTGAACCATATCTCTTGTGATCAACCGGTAGTGGTGGTGCGTGGAGTCTCGAACTGCCTGTCTAGCGAGTCTGTACCCTCCGAGCCTCATCGATCATCATCTGCCGATCCCGACGAACGGACAAATTTATATTCCGACTTTTTGTGTGTCGGACTCCAGAACCGTCAATATACTCATCGACCTCGTCGTCGTCCCTGGCAGATTGTCCAGGTCTACTAATACCCTAAATCACCAATTTAAAATAATAATTAGTAAATATTATTTTTAAAAAAAAATTGTAAATATTTTTTTTTAAAATTAATCTTTTCAAGACAAATTTTAAATTAATGATAAGAATTAATTAATTTATTTATAATAACATCTTAAGTTAATATTAATAATTATTAATCAATTTAAAATTTAATATATATTGTAATAACTATTATAATAGTAATTAACTAATTTTTTAATATTCACTAATTTTTATAATTATTAGAATTAATATTTTATTATTAATTACTTTTTATAATTTTTTCTTTATTAATATATTTTTTTTCTTTTACATTATAATTTTTATTCATATTTTAACAATATTTATTAATTTATTATTATTATGATAATTTAATAATTTTTAATCAAATATATTATTATTATTTTTATTTATTACTAATATAATTTTAATTGATATAATATAATTATAATATTGAACATAATTATTTTAGTTTTTTATTTAACAATATTTATTTTTTTAAATTTTTTATTATAATATTTATTAATATAGTTATTTTCATTATTTATTTATTACTATATTACTTAAAAAAAATTGTGTTCGGCCAGCTCGTGACCGGCTTTGGGGG